AGGGGTATGTGGGTACCAGGCATGATTGCAGGGTCAGGGCCTGGCCTTCGGCACAGCAGCCGGAATCACCTGCACAGAATCTGCGAAATGTTCTTGTACACAGAATTATTGTTGCGGAACCACAGGCAGCCTTTAGAGGCACAGCGTTCGGAAACTGTGACTCTGGTCCGGGAGTCGGCATGTTCACCTGCAGGACAGCGGAGCGTCATAAGAGCCGGAACGGACGGGAATCAAACAGTTTTATTCAAGCCTTGTTGAACATTTTCTCGAAGTTCGCGCAGAGATTCATGTATCGATCCTGAATCGGGGGCGGTCTCTGGGGAACTATAGTGGTCAATAATTTAGTGATGAGAGCCCAGCCTTCTCGGCCCGCTCCTCTGTCAGCTCTGATGTGGCCTTGTTGAGCTTGCGCTCCATCACGAGCTTGAAGTTTTCGTGGTCTCGTTTCAGACCACGAACCGCCTCCTCGTCGCGAACCCGCTCTTTCTCCAGCCTGCTCACCTCGGCCTTCCATCTTTTCTCCTGGTCCTGAAGGGCCTTGCTGTGCATGTCCTTGGCCTTCTGGTGCGCGTCCAAGGACTGCTTGAGCTGAGCCTCCAGGTCGGACTTCTCTCGCATGACCTTTGCGATATCCCTGAGAAGCCTTGCCGACCTTCCCTCCGTGCCGGAGAGACTCTCCTGGAGCTGGTCACGTTGAAGCTCCAGTGTCCACACTTCTCCTTGGCTCAGCTGGAGGCTTTCCTCCATCCTTCTGAGGTTCTCCTGGCACTGCCTCAAAAGGTTGTGGTCCGCCCTGTGTCGCTCGGCCTCCCGGGTGTTCTGGCTGGGCCCCCTATTACTTCCAGGTCGTCGCTTCGCCGAGCCCTTGGCCTTGGCCTTGGCTTTTGGAGACGCCCTGCGTCTCCATTCACCACCCCATACACGGGTCCATCCATCCACCTTTTGCTCCCAAACCCCAGTGTCGTCATTCCATGACCAGGGAGCATCATCCCAGTTGGCAGCCATGGCTAGTTGCACGCAACAGTGGTTTCTGCGCCTGTCTTAGTGGAATTAAATTTTGTTTGTCATTTATTTGGAGGTCGATCGAAGACCGGCCATCATGAAAGAAGTTTATGCATGTCAATATGTGCATGAGATGCCACTGTACTTATTGAGGTCGGAGCGAAAACAAGGAATGATTATGTTTCCTGGCTTTCCCTGTTCTACAGACCTACATGACATGACTGTGGCATCTTGGGCATGAGATGCAGTCACAAGACATGTTGTGCTGGTTATGACAACATTGACATGGCATGTCCCCACTGCTGAACGCACTCTCACAGTGCAGCTGTGTTCAGGGTTACGTTGATTGCGAAGCAAGCAAAGTCGACAACGCTCAAGAAGCTAACCGACTTGCCTTTCTGACCATGCAAGGAATCAACGCCACGTCGAGGATGACGCCTGGGGCTGAGTTCTCCGCTGCGTGTGCGCCAGAAGTTTTACTGTCCAACGCAATGGCCTTGTCTCGCTTTCCCATCGCAGCCAACAACACGGCCTGCGTCTCAGTCGCAACTATTCTGAAGACTAATGCTATGCAGGGCACTGAGAGAGTGCATCTGAAACTAACTGCTGAGAGAGCAGGATCATGAGGAGC